TCCTATCAGGGCTGGTTTCTTTTACTTTATTTATTTTATTTGTTTTATTTTGTTCTAGTCGTGGGGCCTGAGCTCTGGGCCTGGGCGCTGCCCCTCAGCTCTTCAGCTCAGGGCTAGCACTCTACCACTTGGGCCACAGTGCCACATCCGGCTTTTTCTGCTTATGTGGTGTTGAGGAATCAAACCCAGGACCTCATGCATGCGAGGCAAGCACTCTACCACTGAGCCACCTTCCCAGCCCCTTCTTTTCGTTTTTCTATTTAGTTTTTGGTACTGGGGATCGAACCCAGGATGTTGCACTGCTGAGGCGAACGCTTTGTCACCGAAGCCAGCCCAAGGCTGGCTTCAAACCATGATCAGCCTCTTGAGTAACTAGGATTACAGGTGTGAGCCACCAGCACCCTGCCAAAGTATACCTTTCATCTGCTGAAGTGCTTAGCTGTTAGATGCCAGCTCCTCTGTAATGTACTGGGAAGGAGGCTGCTGTGGCTTGTCAATAGCATCACCAGCATCACTTCACAGAGTGAATGACATCCTGCCTGACTTCCTGAAATGAGTGAGTGAGCTGCTGGTAGCTATCGAGATGAGAAGTGTTTATGTGGCCCCACTGAGAGCCTGGGAATAGCTGCCAAGTGCCAAGCCTTGAGGATCACTCTCTTTATGTCAAGCTGTGCTCACTGGCAAAATGATTAGCAATAGTTTCATTGCAATTTTTCTCATTACTCCAACCCCAAGATAAAAGTAATGCTTTCTCACTGTGAGAAATATAAAAAGACATACAAGGTTAGAAGAAGGGAGAAAAAGGGGAGGAGGAAGGGAGGGAAGAAAGAACTCAGGCAGGTTGAAACCATACATTTTCTTCTGACCTTTAAAGATGTGTTTTTTAAATATGATTGAAATCCTGCTGTGTAAGCTCTATCATTTGATATCCTGCTTTTTTACTTCATATGTATCACTTTCAGTTCCAAGAAGAATGTGTTTAGCATTCTTTCAGACAGATTGCTTTTAGTTTAGCTTAGTGTTCCCCCCCCCCACTGATACAAAGACATCTTGGTTCATTATCTTTCTATTTTGGATAGAATAATATTTTTTTTCTCCTTAAGAGAGACTTATGGAAGTAGAATTATTGACAAAAGATGTGATCCCTTTCAGGGCTTTTTTTCTCTTTGCCTGGATTTGGGCGCATGGCTTTCTAGAAGGTTCATTCATCCCTCAGCATCAAGCAGGGGTGTTTGTCTACAGAAACCCTTCAAACAGCACACCTAGTAGACCTGAAATCCCTTTTTAATTCAGAAAAGGTAAAATAACAATGGAATATTTTTATTTGCATTTCTACAATGACTAGGGAGAGTGAACAGTGTTTTATTTTTTGAGTGGGGATAGAATTTACACGTCTTCTTTGGGAATTATCTGCTTACTGGGATTTGGGTAATTTTAGAGATTTCTGTGACCTCATCATATATTAGAGACATTAACTCCTTGTTATATGTATTGCAAACTGTTCACAAATTTATGCTTTGCAACCAGAGTTTTTGATAACAGTTTTATTGAGATATAATTCATGTACTATGAACCCATTCACATAAAGAGTACCATTCAATGGATTTTGGAATGTTCACAGATTCCTGCACCTCACCTATCACCACTATCATTTTTAGAATATTTCTATCACTATCAAAAGAAATTTCAAGCTGGGCACTGACTGGTAGCTCATGCTTATAATCCTAGCTACTCAGAAGGCTGAAATCTGAGGATTG